TCTACCTCACGGGGTGGGTGTGAGGTTTCCTTGGCTAGGAGGGCGAAGTGCTCTGGGATGAGGGGTGAGTGAACTCACGGGATGTGAGACACAAAGTGAGCGAGCTGCATCTGAGCTTAACAATTTCCTTTCTAACGTGATTTGTTCCCTATTTCTCCAATCTGGGGGTGTCTGACAGTGAAGCTGCAGGACAGGCAGCTCCCCTGTCCCACAGTAAACTGGGATTCACAGCTGAGCCATGGCTTGCTGTGGGGTTTGTGTCCTGGCACAGGCGCTGGAGTGAGGTGAGGATTTGGTGGCCAAGGTGGCAAGGAAAGGCTGGGTGCTGCTGTCTCTGGAGATGCTGGTGCACAGCGGGCTGCTCACCCCAGGCTGGGCCCGGGGGCACCCTTGGAGCAGGGCTGTGTGCCCAGAATAGGGGGCAGGTCCTGGCACCTGGCACCAGGCAGGTCCCTTGGCTGTTGATAAGAGTCGGCATCCTGATCTCCCTGAGGGGCTGTGGGACCCTCAGGCCAATCAGTGTCCTCACCTGCAGGCTGGGGACAGCGAGTCTGAGCTACCTCTGAGAGGCGTGGGGCGCCCTGCCCGCTCTGGTGCCAGGGGGTGTGACACGCCAGCGCTGTGACAGCCAGCGCTGTGACACGCCAGTGCCACCTGTGCGAGCCCGGCAGGAGGCTGAGACCTCCCAGTCACCCCGAGAGACCCCCGGCCCGCCCTTGGAGGAGCCCTCCCGCGGGGGAGGACGGCGAGGCGAGGAAGGGAGGTTTTTTTAAAGACTATTTTTAGCTGCCCTAACCTGTTGGCCTTTTCTAGCCGGCGCGTGGACGCAGCTCCACTTCCTGCCGGGTATGCAATGCTGCACTATGCATGGATTGCTCCTCTGGCTCGCTGGGAAACGGCCACTGAAGCAGTTTTGGGGACGTAACCCCGTGTAACCCACGGGGGCTCCGGGGGAGCGGGCTGCCCTGGGAGCCTGTGCCAGCACCAGCGGGGTCCCTGCTGTCAGCGGGGCTTTGGGGGGGCTGCAGAGGCACCCTGGGGGTGTGTGCTGCCACAGACACGTGTGTGTGTGTCCAAGCACATGTGGAGCTGCGTGGGAGGAACCCGCGGGTAAGCACAGGGGGGTGTGCGCCGGGCTGTGTGATGACTTACAGCACATCTTTGCACTGTAGAGGTTTAGTTAGCTTTGCCTTGAATGAAATAAAGTTTACGTTTACTAGAGAAACTCGCCGGTGTTTGGGGTTGCTGTGGGTGTCTGGTTAGGTCTGGGGTGGGCTGAGGAAAAACAAAAAAACAACCCCGTGAGGAAGCAGGGGCTTGGGAGGCTGAGTGAAAAAACAAATCCTTTCCTTTAATGGGAAGAGGGGGAGGCTGTAGAGCACAAACATAATTTCTCTCTGTACAACAGGAGTGGGCTGACAGCAGCTTGGCCCCCCAGGAGCCATCCTGCCACAGCGGGGTCAGCACAGGGCAATAAATTAATTAATCTTCCTCCGGAAGGGAGCTTGAGCCGGTGAGATTCCTTCAGGCATCAGTGGCCGCCACTCCGAGTCACCCTTTGCCTCCTTGGCTGGGCTCTGGCACCCTAAATCACAGCTGCCAGCGCGGCTTTGGGAGCCTCAGCTGTGGCTGGGGATCCGTGGCCCTGTTGCTGCCAGAGCAAGGGCAGGGGATGGGCAGGGAGGCTCGGGGCGAGGAGCGACCCGTTCCGGCAGGTCTCAGAGCTCCGACTGCCGGGAGAGAGAGGCACAGAGGGCATTGAAAGCTCTGGAAGGGCATTGGAAGCAAGAGGAAAGCAGCCGTGTCCCTCGGGAGGCGGCTCAGCCGAGGGGGGCTGCCTGCCCCCGGGCAGGGTGGCACTGACCCTGCGCACGGCGTAGATCCAGTCCAGGTAGGCACGGACACTGGTGTAGACGCCGGGTGTGCTGGGGGTGCCGCAGCCCTGGCCCCAGCTGACGATGCCCACGACCTGCCAGTGCCCTCCCGAGTACAGGAGGGGCCCGCCGCTGTCCCCCTGGCAAGGACAGAGCCTCAGATGGCCCCGCAGTGCAGTGACAGCCCCGCAGAAAGGCTCTTCCCTCACAGGAGCCGTGTCACGATGGGTACAGAGCCACCCAGCCCCGTGCCCAGCCCTGGCCCCACCTGGCAGGTGTCCACGCCGCCCTGGGGCAGGCCGGCACACAGCATCCTGTCGGTGACATCGCCGTGGTAGGCGGCCAGGTTACAGCTCTGCTTGTCGATGAGCTCCACCTCGGCCTGCTGCAGCTGCTCCGACAGCTTCCCTGGGGGACACGGCCTCTCAGAGGGAGCCGGGGCAAGCAGGGGGCCTCTGGCAGGCTGTGCCGTGTCCCTGTCACCCCAGGCTGTGGCACTCACCGTGCTCCTCCGTGTAGCCCCAGCCGATCACCCACAGGGGCGTGCCCGGCACCAGCTCCTCATCGAAATAGGGCAGGCAGATGGGCTTGGTGCTGTCTGGAAAGGACATCGAGGGGGGCTCACAGGGCAGGGGGCCAGGCTGGCTGGGGACAGCCACCAGCCAGGCACCCCACTGCCAGGCCAGGCATCGCCACCCCAGCCCCGTGCTCAGCGCCAGCAGGGGACACTTGTGCCTGCTGGCCCGGGCAGGGCTTTGCCAGGCGCACCTGAGTCGTGCAGGGGGGAGCGCAGCTTCACCAGGGCGATGTCGTTCTCCTTGGGGGACGCGGGCGTCACCTCGGCCAGGAACACCTTCTCCACGGCGATGGTGGCAGCGCCCGACAGCAGGTCGGAGCCGGCCTTCACACGCCAGCTCTGGATGATGGGGTTGTTCCTGCGCACAGGCAGCGCCGTCACCGCCCATCCGCGGAGCCCCGATCCCGCTGGGAATTGCAGGACATTCCCAGGGGACTGCACTCACTTGAAGCAGTGCGCGGCCGTGAGCACCCAGCCGGGCCCGATGATGCTGCCCCCGCAGATGTGCTCCTTCCTGTACTGCAGGCTCACCTGCCAGGGCCACGCCTCGATGGCAGCCGGGCTGCCCCCCAGCACCCGCGGGGTCCGCACGCTCTGCCCGCAGTCTGTGGGGACACGGCGGGCACGGGGGGCACGGGGGGCACGGGGACAGCAGCGTGCCCAGGGTGCCTTGTCCCCGCCGTGCTGCTGCCACCCCGCACCCCCAGGCTTGCTGGAAGGGGCCCAGCCACCCCCTGCCTGCTCCAGCCCCCCGGGATAATTAGTTTAATCAGGGTAATTTGCTGGTAGAGGTGAACCCAAGCAGGCAGCCGGGTGAGCCTCCTGTAGGTGTCTCACGGCTGGCTTAACGAGGTGAGCAGTAATTAAATCCATCTTTCCTCGTGCAAACACTGCGGAACGGGCTTGGGATGGAGCCACACTCCCACGGGCAGTGCCAGCAGAGAGCCCGCAGTGCCCACGAGGCCCGGGCACCACCGTGGTACTTACTGGAACAGAAGAGCGACACGACCAGCCCCGAGAGGCATTTCCTGCAGGAGGAAGGAGCAGAGCTGGGTTTGCCTCCTCTGCCAGGCACGGGGGCTCCTGCTGGGGCTGGACACACCGTCCCCACTCACCTGCCTGGCTCAAGCACCTGCAGGCTCCCGTTGCTCAGCACCACCTCGCGGGGAGGCAGAGGCTGCCCCGCGCTCACCTCCACGCCCTGGAAGGCTGGGGTGCTGGAAGACACGGGGGGACAGGGCTTCAGGGCTGGGGGAGACAGGCATGGCCTCAGCGCCTCAAGAGCCTGGATCCCACAGGAAAAAGGGGTTTCTGTGGGACAGGGGTGACAAAGTGGGGATGTGACAGCCCTGGAGGGCCCAGGAGCGGGGACAGGAGCAACTGAAGGAGGGGAGAGAATTCCCTGCTCTGCAGGAACTCAGGGGGCTCCTCACTGGTGCATTTGAGACCTGGAAAACGCCAGGTTTGACTCAGTCTGGGCTCCCACAGTGGCTCAAACACCAGAACCCATCTCGAAAGGGAAGTGCAGGGCCCTGGGCCTCGCTCCCAGCTGGGCAGGGCAGGGTGCAGTAGGGGGCATGGAGGCAGAGCAGGAGCAGGGCAGGGTGCCCATGGGCTGTGACAGAGCAGGGCACAGCTCTCTGCTCTCACAGGAGGCTGCCAGGGCTCCGTGCCAGCTCCTGAGGACCCACAGAGTGCTCTGCGTGCTGGGGACGGACAGAAACCATTAGTGCAGAGCTCTGAGTGCTCCACAAGTCAGCAGAGCCCCGCTCCAGAAGAGCTTTTAAGGACGAGGGAAGGTGAAGCAGGGCAGGCAGCTGTACCTGCTGTAGCCCATCTGCTCACAGGCAGCTCTGGCCAGCGCCGGGGTGAAGTGGTCGTGGCACACACAGGACCAGGTGCCAGTGTGGCTCTGGAGCACCTGCAGGATGGATCTGTCTTTGGAAACGCGGGCTGGAGGCAGACACAAAGTCAGCTTTGGCCGCAGCAGCCCAGCCCCCCGAGCTCTGGCGGGGTTGTCCTGCACTCACCCCCGGCTGGTGGCCCCTGGGGGACCCACTGGGGACAGGTGGCCTCGTCCTCGCCCTGCAGGCAGTCCAGCTGCCCGTCACACACCTGCTTCAGCGGCACCAGCTTCAGGGGCTGCTTGCAGAACAGGTAGTGGTGGTCCAGGTAAATCTTCACTGCAGGGAGAGGGGGGCTCAGTGCCGAGCTCCAGCTCCTGGGCAGGCTTGGGGCTGCCTCGGGGGGGTCAGCAAGGAGCTGGGTCTGTGTTGGCCACGGGGAAGGAGAGGGAGAGATCAGGAGCTGTACCCAGGAAGCCGATGGCGACCAGGCAGGCGAGGGTGAGCACCACGGCCAGGACCAGGATCCCCACCCGCCTGAAGGACTCCGGTGCCCTGGAGGATTTGGGTCTCGTGCGGGGACCTGCAACACAGAGGAGCGTGGCCCTGCATGGCCGGGCTCAGCCTGGCACCTCTCGGCTCTCCCAGCTCCCTCGGGTGTTACCTCGGCCGTCGAGCCGCTCCGAGGCCGAGTCCTGCAAAGCAGAGAGGAAAAGCAGTCACGGGCTGAAAGTGGGGGCAAAAAGCAGCTGCAGGGTGGGAGGCCCAGGGTGGTGAGCTCGCAGCCCAGGGATGAGCGGGGAGACAGCCCCCAGCTTCACCTGAGGTGACTTTAGAGCTGCTGGGAATGGGGCTGGCTTGTCCTGCGGTGACAACGCCCGGCTCAGGGTGACCCAGGGTCACCATAGACACCACCCGTGCAGTTCCAGGAACCGGCTCGCAGTGGCACAGAGTTACTGTCATTAACACACCTGAGGCTTAAAAAGTCACAGGTGTTGCGAAAGAGGCGCTTTCTGCTGCGCAGAGCCACCCTGACTCAAAATACACACGCCTGCGGGGCTGCGGCAGGGCATGTCACGACGACGGGGACTGTGGCTCCAGCAGGGTCACAAGCGGGTGGCACAGCCCGGGTGCTCCTTCAGGGCTGCAGGAGCACCAGAGGAACCAGCCCGAGCCAGGGGAACCTGCGCTGCCAGGGCGGGGAGGGAGGGAAGGCTGTGCCGCTGCTAAGAGACGGGGTAAACACAGCCGGGGCTGGAGCGGGGCTGACTCAGGCATCGATCCGCTTGAGCTCCTCGGAGTTATCTCGGAATTATCCTCTGAAACAGCTCCTTGTACGAGAAACCCCCGAGGATGGGCGGGCAGTGCTGTGAGGCCGGGCTCGGTGGGTGGGGGTGGGCTGGAGCCCAGAGCCCCCTCGGGAGGGCTCAGGTGGGCTCTGCCGCTGTCTGCTCCGTGTTTTTTCCAGCCGTGCCCCAGAACACCTTTGGGAAGGTGTTTCTGCTGTGCTGAGCCTGCTCCTGCCAGCCCCAGTGAGATCTTCTCTTTTGCTGCTGCTTCTGGGCTCTGCCAGCACAGGTAAGAGAAGATTTCTGCATGAGCAGAGGTAAGGAGGGGTTAAACCCACAGATCCTGGAGGGTTTGGGCTTTGGGAGACTCTGCTGCCAGTGCTGAGCTCCGGGAGCAGCACAGCCCGGAGGTGAGGGTGTTTGTCACACCGGAGGAGAGCAGAGGTGCCTGTGCCATGCCAGGCTCAGAGGCCTGGCAGAGCAGCGTGGGGGCACTGGGATGTTCCCAGGTGCCCAGGTCAGGGGAGAGGGGAGCCCTCCGTGCCCGGGTCACTGTGCCAGGGCATGTTCAGCCACGCACACACACCCTTCCAGCAGGGTTTGCAGCAGTGCCAAGCCATTATCCCCGGGCTGGCACACAAAGGCAGGCTGGCTTCCTGAGCCAGGAGCTGCTGCCTCCCTGCAGGGCGGCTGGGGCTGCTGGTTCTGGGAACAAGCAGTGACCTGTGCAGGGCAGGACTGGCTCCTGCCTGGTGCCGTGTGGTGTGTCCCAGCACGCTGGGGTCTGGCTCCTTGAGGAAACACCAGCAGCCTTCTTCCCCAAGCCAGCCTCAGCTGGCACCCTCTGTGCCAAGTGTGGGCAGCTTGTGCCAAATTCCCCAGCCCTGGATGGGCTCTGGGGTGCAGAGGCTGTTTCCTGGGAGCTGCTGGGAGCAGGAGGGCAGGGTGGGAACCCGGCTCCTGCATCTCCCACCTCGCTGCCCTTCCTGAGCCTCTTCTCTGCGGAGAAGGGAAGAACTCCTGGAGGCCTGGCAGTTTTGGAATGCTGCCCCAACCCCTGCCAGCCCAGGGCACGTGGGGCTGGTCCTTCCTCATGCTGACCTCCTGTGTCACCTGGCCTGGGCCGGGCGCCTCCTGGATAATGGGATCCTAACGGTTCCCAGCGGGAACGGGATGGCTCGGGGTGGATCCTGCAGGCCCCACTGCAGCAGCACGGCTGTCCCTCTGTCCCCACACTGCCCATGCCTGTCCCCATCACGGTATCCACGGCTGGGATCCTTTCCAAGGCGCAGGTCTGGTGTGGATGCAGATGAGATGGGTGATTATTGGGTTTTGGGGTTTTTTTTGTATTTTCTTCAGTCCATGAACCTCTTCTGTTTCAAAGGGATTCAGAGGTTGCCTCTCCATGACTCCTCTCGAGGCCACCACGAGCAGGAGCAGCACTGGTTAAATCCAAGGCCAGGGAGGGCCGTGCCCACTCCTTTGGAGTGGAGGCACATGATTTCCTGCAGAGCTCCGTGCTACCGTGACTGATTGAGCTCCCTTGCTGTGTTCTCCTGGGGCACTTCATGCCACCGTGGCCATGCCAGGCTCCAGCTGTGCCAGTGCCAGCCCAGGAGCCGTGGAGTTCTGCTGAGCCTCTTCCCCCCTTCAGCAGGGGCTGCAGGGTGTGCTGAGCTCCATCAGGGTGTGCTGCCGGGCTCCATCCCTCCCTCGGGAGCAGGGGGGATGTTCCCTCACCAAGCCGAGCTTTGCAGAGCGATCAGACTCCCAGGGTGACTCCTTGGTGGGGATTTACCCCGTGGGTGTGTGCAGACACTGCAGGGAGCGAGCTCCCCACCCTGCAGGGTTGGTGTCCCTCTGTGCTGCTGCTGGAGGGTTTGCAGTGCCCGCTGAGCTTGGTTGTGCCCTCCAGGGAGGGACTGGGTGCCAGGTGCGTCCCCTGGGCTGAGCAGGGGGCTGGGAGGGCCTGGCTGTGCCCCAGGGGGTGCCCAGGAGTGGGATGGGGCCCTTCAGGAGGTCCTGTTCCCCTTGGCATGGGGGGCACTGCCTTGCTTGTCTGCTGCCCAGGCCGGGAGAGGGAAAGGCAGAGCCAGAAGTGTGGGAGTGAGAGCATGGGGGGACCCAAGCTCTGTGTGCAGCCACAGAGGGATGTGGGGAGCAGGGGAAACCCTTCCCTGGCACCCAAGCTCCGTGCACAGCCAAGGAGGGGTGTGAGAAGCAGGGGAAACCCTTCCCTGGCACCCAAGCTCTGTGTGCATCCACAGAGGGGTGTGAGGAATGGGAAAAACACTTCCTTGGCACCCAAGCTCTCTGTCCAGCCAAGGAGGGATGTGAGGAGCAGGGGAAACCCTTCCTTGGTACCCAAGCTCTCTGTCCAGCCACTGAGGAGTCTCAGGAACGGGGGAAACCCTTCCCTGGCACCCAGGCTCTGTGTGCAGCCAAGGAGGGATGTAGGGAGCAGAGGAAAAGGGTGTGGGGAATGGGAAAAACACTTCCTTGGTACCCAAGCTCTCTGTCCAGGCACTGAGGAGTCTCAGGAATGGGGGAAACCCTTCCCTGGTACCCAGGCTCTGTGTCCAGCCATGCAGGGCTGTGAGGAATGGGGGAAACCCTTCCTCGGCACCCAAGCTCCATGTCCAGCCACTGAGGAGTCTCAGGAACGGGGGAAACCCTTCCCTGGCACCCAGGCTCTGTGTGCAGCCAAGGAGGGATGTAGGGAGCAGAGGAAACCCTTCCCTGGCACCTAAGCTCCGTGCACAACCATGGAGGGGTGTGAGGAATGGGGGAAACCCTTCCTCGGCACCCAAGCTCCATGTCCAGCCACTGAGGACTCTCAGGAACGGGGGAAACCCTTCCTCGGCTGCCGGGGAGCAGCAGCTCCTTGTGCCCGGGCTGCCCCATGCCCTGGGCACCTCCCGGGGCTGGGAGCGCGGCCGGGCGCGGGGTGTGCGGGGGGCTGGTGTCCACCCCGGGGCAGGGACTCACCATGTCCATCCCGCTCCGGCGGGGTCCTGCCGCCCGCGGAAGCCCGGCAGATGTCCCCGGTGCGGGACAGGGGGAGGAGGCTGCGGCTGCCCTGGAGCCGGCCCGCGATGCTCCCGCAGCCCGTGCCCTGCGCTCGGTGCCCACGCCGCGCTCGCACTGGGGCAGCACCGCCCCAGCCCTCCTTAAAACCCACAAGGGGAGTTGTGAAACAGGAATTCTGGTTTGTATTGTAATACAACACCGGTCTATCAGCAGCACCATCACCTGCGGTAATCTCCCGAGCATCTCCACTGCGGGTGAGTCACCTGCGGCGCTGCTGTCACCAAACAGCTTATCAGAAGTGAACGGACTGATTTTTCCTGCTCCTCCTGATGATAAGAGGATCCACGGCCACCCCGCTCTTTGTCCGGCTCTTCCGCGTTGCGCTGGGTTGTTGTCAAAGCCAGCTTCGAGTAGGTGGAGGAGGAAAGGAGGAGAGTTTGAGCCCTGGGTCACTCGGGCTGTGTGTCCCCGCCAGGGCCGGGTCACGGCTGGCAGGGCTGGGGCAGGTGGAAGGGGAGGCAGGGGGTGCCCATGGGTACCCCGAGGGTCTGTGATTATCCGGGAATAACCAGTCCCTCTGGGATGGAGCAGTTTAGCCTGGCAGGATGGGAGGAGGGTGAGGAGGGCAGGAGGCAGCGCCCCAGGGGTGAGGGTGGCCCAGGGGGTCGGGGGGGCTGCTGGCCACCCTCTGCACGCTGATGCTGGAGCTGCTGGGTGTGCAGGATGTGCCGAGCAGCTAATTACCCCCTTCTCCCGTGGAAATGCTGCTAATTACCCCCTTCAGCTTTCCCAAGGGGCCCTGCTGCTGCCAGCGGGAGGCTGCAGAGCACCCACGACCTGCAGCTCCTCAGGGAGCTGTGCCATGGCTGTGCCAGCTCACCCTGCCAGCAGGGGCCCTGCCCGCTGCCCCAGACTGGCCAGGGATGCTCCTGTGGCTCTGCAGGTAAGGGGAACCCTCCCCACTCCCACCCTGAGCATCCAGCCCCTTTTGGAGGTGTGGGCACCTCAGCCCTGGTGGTGCCCGCGATGCCCAGAGGATGTGGCATGTAGGGTGCCCCCAGAGGCTGCCCGTGGCACATTTCAGCTTGAGAAACCTTTCACGGGCTGCAGCAGCGGGAGCTGGGCTGGCCTTGGCTCCCCGGTGCCCCTGTCAGGTCCTGGCAGCCTCCCCAGAGCATCCCGGTGGGAAGGGATGGCAGAGCAGCCCGGGAGAGGTGGCACGGAGCGGGCAGCCAGTCCTGCCCTGGGGACCCGGGGCTCTGGGGACACAGCTCAGGTTTGCAGTGCTGTGTCACAGCCTCCGGGGCTTTGCTTCCTGGAGTGTGGCTGTGTCTGCAGCCAGCTGCCCTTCCCTGCTCCCGGAGCCGGGCACGGCACAGATTTTGGGCATGGCACAGGTTTTGGGCATGGCACATGTTTCCTGGCATGGCACAGGTTTCCGGGCATGGCACGGGCATGGCACGGGCATGGCACATGTTTCCAGTCATGGCACAGGTTTTGGGCATGGCACAGGTTTCCGGGCATGGCACGGGCATGGCACAGGTTTCCGGGCATGGCACAGGTTTCCAGTCATGGCACAGGTTTTGGGCATGGCACAGGTTTCCAGTCATGGCACAGGTTTTGGGCATGGCACAGGTTTCCAGTCATGGCACAGGTTTTGGGCATGGCACAGGTTTCCAGTCATGGCACAGGTTTTGGGCATGGCACAGGTTTCCGGGCATGGCACATTTCCAGGCATGGCACAGGTTTCCTGGCACTGGGGTCGGGCAGAGGACAGGCCAGGCTGGCCCAGGGCTCTGCGTGACCATCCCGGAGCCGCACGGTCACATCCCCATCCCTGTGTTCTCCAAGGCAAGGGCGGTGCCACCCCCGGGGGCTGCAGCTCCCGCTGTCCCCTCCGTGCCCCCCAGGCATCACCGAGTGCTGGCCTGGGCAGGGCTGCTCAGGGCTGGGCTCCGAGGTGGGGCACGGCAGGGGCAGAGGCTGGGCCTGGCACAGCAGCACCCAGCAGGGAGACGTGCCCGGTTTCCAGCTGTTCAGGGTTACAGCTGTGGGTCACTTTTCCCCGCAGCCACAGCAGGCGGTTTTCCCTCTTGTTACAAACAGGAGCTGATTGCCAAGAGACGCTCTGCTTTGGGACTTGGAGACGATCAAGTAGAGCTGTGAGTGCCTCATTTTGGGGTGTCTGACTGGGGGCAGCTGCTGAGGGTCACCCCTGTCCGTCCCTGTCCCCTGGGTGCTGCCTGAGGCCCCCAGCCTGGCTTCTGGTGGCTCTCTGCCCCCTTCCTGGCTGCTGGCCTTGCCTGGAGGTGACAATCAGAGGACACGGCCACTCGGGCACCTTGCCAGAGCTGGGCACACCCGTGTCCAGGCTGTCCCTGTCCCTCGGGCTCCCAGTACTCCCAGTTCAGCCTCTTCCAGCAGCGGGAGGGCAGAGCTGCCCACGCAGGCAGGGCCGTGTGCCCTGGCTCGTGTCTGCTGCAGCTCCTCTGCTTTCTCCTGAGAACCAGTTGGACCAGTGGGCCAGGACTGGTGCCCAGCCTCGCTGCAGGGAGGCAGCCGTGTCACCAGAGAGGGGGACAGCCAGGACGTGCCAGGCTCCAGCACAGAGGGCTCAGCAGCAGCTCCAGGCTGGGATAACCGAGAGCAGCTCCCGTGGGACACCACGGGACATGGACCCCCGGGCAGGTGAGTGGGGGGTCTTTGCCCCCTCAGGGGGCAGAGGTGGGGGGCTCACGGCACGGGCAGTGCTTTGGTGACCCTCCTCCCTGCTCCCCCGTGGGCTGGGGCTCGCTGTGCCCGGGCAGTGCTGCTCAGAGCCATCCCCGGGGATGCTCCCGAGGGTGCCAGGGCAGGGACGCCTCCCACGCAGGGCACGGGGCAGGGCCTGGGCACGTCACCCTCCCACGGGCCGTGGGCGTGGGGACGGGGCAGTTTCGGCAGCCGGCTGATTCAGGGAGGCTCTTGTTGCACCACGCAGCTCCTGCCGTGACTCACGGCTCCCGGACCTCGCCCTCACCGGGGGTCCCGGCGCTGCCGCTCGCCCCTGCCCCGGCAGGAAAAGCGGCCACCCACGTACGCTGAGCGCTGCCAGGAGCGTCGGCTGGGAGGGAAAGCAAGGGCAGGGCAGGTCCTGCTCCTCCCGCGAGCCCTGGGAGCTCTGCGGCTGTCTGTCCGTCCCGCCAGGACGCGCTGCGGCCGTGCTCGCTGTGTAAACACCGCCACCACAGGGGAAATGTCCTCACTCCGCTGGCATCTGCCTAAATTTAGCTGCTCTTAGGTCATCCCTTTCCGCTGTCTCCTCGCCCCCGGGGAGTGCCGCACTGAATCCCGAGGCTGTGCCCTCCTCTGGGCAGTGCCCACACCCCCGGTGCCCTCCTGGCACAGCCCCGCAGAGCTGCCCGGCAGCAATCGATGCTCGGGGGCTGTGCCGGCTGCGGGGGCACGGATCGGTGCTGGGTTCTGCCAGACCCCGCTCAGGGAGCGCAGGGATGGGCGGTGCGGAGCCCGCGCAGGTCCCGCACCGCCCCGTCCGCGTCCCGCCCCAGCCCGGCTGCTGCTCCTGACAAAAACATCCTCTAGAGGGAACTGCCAGCCCAGGAATGGCCCCGGCGCCGCCAGGGAAGGAGCATCGCCCCGCCGGGGCGTGAGCGGCACCAGCAGCGGGCTAAGCACGGCCAGGGCGGCCACCTCCCTGCCGGTGACAGTCCCACCTGGCAGCTCACCTGGGGACAGCGGGGCTCTCCTCGGGGGGCTTTGGGGACAGCAGAACCCTCTGTGCGCGCTCCTGGCAGCCCTGCCGGGGGGACAGCCCATGCTGGAGGGTTGTACCCCTGCTCCCGGCTGTCCTGGGCCCTGCGGGGACAAGCGGGACCCCCGGCCCCCCAGGTCTGTCTCAGAGCCCCTCCCCGCTCTGCTTTGCAGGACAAGAGCCCGTCAAGGTGATCGGGGTCGTCCTGGGCATCGGGCTGGCCCTGCTCTTCCTGGCCAGTTTTGGCTACACCTTCATCCGCTGGTACCGGCGGGGCCGCGGGCAGCGGCGTGAGTAGGGCAGGGCAGGGGACAAGGCAGGGGACAGGGGGACAGGGCAGGGGACAGGGTGGGGGACAGGGCAGGGGACAGGGGGGCTCAGAGCACAGGGCCGGGGGTGTGGGGAACACGGGGGATGGAACCCCAGGTGCAGGGGGCTGGGGGCACTCTGAGGTGAGGAGGGGGATGCACAGCGCTGTCCTGCTGCTGTCCTGCTGCCTGTCCCGCCTGTCCCCAGCCTGCTACTCCCGGCAAAGCAAAGGGGGGCCCTGACACCCCTCCCTCCTCTCCCTCGTGCCTCCCAGGGCCTGACTTTGTGTTCAGCCTGTACCACTCGCGGTGAGTGACACCCCGGGGGGACCAGGCACAGCTCTCCTTGTGCCGAGGTGCCACAGCCCCTCCCCGCCCGGTCCTGCTGCTGGCAGGGGCTGGGGGTGGGCAGCGTGGTGACCCCCCTGCTGTCCCTGCAGCGGGCTGGGGTCGGTGGCACTGGAGCTGGTGCCCCCGTTCAGCATCAGCGGCTCGCTGGGCACCTCGGGCACTGGCTACGAGCCCTTCCACAAGCAGAGGCCGTGAGGTGGCAGCTGGGCTGCTGGGCAGGTAGGAAGGACATCCCCTGGTGCCCCTGCTCCCCAGTGCTGTGCTCCTGGAGCCCCTGGCCACCACAGCTTTCCTCAGGGCAGTGCCCAGGTTTTTCAGCACAAGCCCTGCCTGTGGCTCTGGCCCTTCAGAGGCTTTCCCTGAGCTCTGGGTTGGGTTTTTCCCCTCACAGGTTTTGGTTGTGTTTCCTTCCCTGCTGTCCTGGCATGGGACATGTGGCCGGGCACAGAGGGATGGGGCTGGAGCCTGGGTGCTCTTGCAGAGCTTCCTCTCCCTGCCTCTTACTCTCAGCCCAGCCCCAACAGAAAAAGCAACCAGGGGGAATTCCTCCGTTTTCACTTCTGTAAGAAACAGCCCCTGCAATTTTTGGATTCCAACCGAAATGGAAACGGCGCAGTTTCTGTTGCTAAAAAAACTTGCCAGAATCACAGAGTCCTTGGGGCTGGAAGGGACCTCTGGGACCACCTGGTGCCCAAGGTGACCTGGAGCAGGTGACACAGGAACACCCAGGTGGGTTTGGAGCATCTCCAGAGAGGGAAACTCCACAATTCCCTGGGCATCTCCTCCACCTGCAGTTCTCAGGCACAGGAGGTGCCTGGAACAGCACTGGGCTTGGCGTGGAGGAAGAGGATGCAGCTTATCCCAGGATTCCTCAACATCCTGGAGAAAACAGCCACGTTCCCCACGGCTCAGAGGCCTCGCAGCCTCCTGCACACCCAGAGAGCTGGCAGCAGGCTGTTCCTCGGGGAAGCAGCTGAGGAGGAGCTCAGAACTGGCTGATTGGATTTCTGCAACTTCGGAAAACACCGCGGGGAAACGGGAAATCTGTCTCAGTCCTCCTCCTCCTCCTCCTCCATCCACCAACATGGAAGCTGGTTCTCCACACTCCCAGTGCAAGGAGACGCCTCAGAAAGCCCCTGTGGAAGTTCCTCCTGGATTTTTAGGGCCAGTTGCCCTCGGTCCCAGCAGAACAAGCGGCTGTGGAAGTTCCTGGAGCACAGGAACAGCCGTGGGGACGTTCTGCGGTCACAGAGAGGGGCTCTGCTTGGCCAGCAGGGCTGGAGGGGGCCTTGGGATTCATTTCTTTGCAACTTTCTCTCAGAAGAAAAAGAAAAACTCACGAGAGCCACGTGTGTAGGACAGAGTGGGATTTCCAGGGAGTCAGAGGGAGCGGCTCTGCTCTCGGCCATCGAAGCTAAACCCTGTGGTCTGCAGCTTTCTCCTGGCTGGAAGGAGATCTCTGCCTGCCCAGGAGAGGGGGAAATGCCATCTCCCGGGGGCTGGGAGCCCTCCGTGGGGAGCAGGAACCAGCAGAGCCCTGCGTGACGCAGGATCCGCCCGTGGGGCCCGACGTCAGCGGCGTTTAAAAGAAAAACAACAAAAAAAGTGTCATGCTTTTGATGACTCTGATTTCCAGAGGAAGTTGAAAGAAAAAAAAAAAAGAAAGCAAAAAGTTCTAGCCCCCAAATTACGCAGAGGCAGAAGAGATGGGGCCAGTGGAGGGGCAGGAGGAGGCTCCCAGTGCCCTCCACCTCCCCGTGGGATGCAGGGCTGGATCTCACGTGGGAGATGTAAGAGGAGGAAACGCAGCAAGGGTCAGCCCTCTCCTCCTCCCTGCGCTGGAAAACCTGAAAATAAACCCCAAACCCTTCACCAGAAAACCACATTCCCCGAGGAGAGTTTCCACCAGCAGTTTTACTTCCCACCCTGAGGGTTCCTGGAAATGGAGTGACTTTTGGAAAAACTTCCTTCACACCTGGAGGGTGACCCAGGGCTGGGGCTCATCCTGTTTCTGTCCTGATGACAGCTGGTCACAGCATCACAGAATCAATTTGTTGGGAAAAGGCCTCTGAGATCATGGAGCCCAACCTGTGGCTGAGCAGAGCCCTGACTGTTTTCTTTCCTCCCCCCTGGGTTGGATTTGTCCTCCTGTCCGTCATGGAGCCCAACCTGTGGCTGAGCACCGCGTGGCTGAGCAGAGCCCTGACTGTTTTCTTTCCTCCCCCCTGGGTTGGATTTGTCCTCCTGTCCTTCCCATGGGGTGGGCATCCCTGTGGGATCGCTGGGAGCAGCCCAGCTCCTTTTCCCTGCTGCTCCTGTGGTGATTGCCCCCACAAATTCCCCAGGAGCTCCTGGAGAGTGGCTTGGTTCTCCTTGTCCCAGCTGTGATGTGGAAATGCTCCTCCCCACACGAGGCAAAGGCTCATTGCCCCGTGCTGATGGGGAACGTCCAAATGTGGAAACAGGAAGCTCAGCTTGGCCTTGGGAGAGGATGGACAGACAAAAGGATCAAATAAATAACACCACGTCCTTTCTGTATTTACAAATGAAACAAATAAATAATGTCTGCGTCCCACAGTGGCAGAGCACAGACCATAGTGTGGGTGGGGCTGCCCTGGCTCGTGCCGGGCTCTGGGTGCATCCCGGATCCTGCCCTGGGGCTCTCCCAGAGGGGCTGGCTGCTGAGGGGTCTCCGTAGGGTCAGCAGAGTCTCTTGGTCCATCCACGTGGGGTCAGGCAGAGGAGGAGCCCCGAGCTGCCAGCAGCAGGGAGCTGGTGCCAGCCTGCCCTGTGCCCGCAGCGTTGTGAAAGGCTGGGATTGACACCAGCACGGGCACGCCAGCACAGGAGCCCGGCTGGCCAGGCAAGGGGAAGTGAAGCACGGGACCAGCCCAGCCCCAAGGGGAGCCCTGCACCCCGTGCTGGGCTGCTGAGGAGGGCATGGGGTGCAGAGGTGTCCTGGGTGGCACAAGGAGGTCGGGAGGAGCCCCTCCAGCACAGCCCATCCCTGCTCCCGTTCGCTGGGGATGCTGGAGGGGTGCCCACGGCAGGACGGGGGCACAGCAGCCCCGCAGCGGCTGAGCTGGTGCTCCTGGGCCTGGCAGCCTGGGCGGTCAGGGTCAGCAGTAGCTTATCCAGTGGCAGACGAGGTAGTTGGGTCAGAGCCCGGGGCTGGTGGCCCCCGGGCACGGGTCACAGGCGGCTGTCCTTGCTGTCCCCGCTGAGCTGGCCCGGGGGCACGGTGGGCAGGGTGATCCAGCTGGGGCTGAGGCTGGGGGACAGCAGCGTCCCCAGGAGGGCAGTGTTGCTGTTGCTGAAGAGGCTCAGCTCGAAGGGAGTTCTCAGATCGGGGCTGCCTTTGCAGGTCACTGGAGCAGCCGGGGCTGCCCAGCTCAGCAGGGTGGGCGCTGGGGGCCCCGCCTGCCTGGGGAAGTCGCAGGCAGGGGCTCCCCAAGGAGCCAGGTCCCGTGTGAGGGCATGCTCGGGGGAGCACTGCTTCAGATACCCTTGGGACACGGCCAGCTCGGGGCACTCCACGTCCAGCGCGGTGTCGCTGCTGCCCGGGCCCTGCACGGAGCCTGCCCAGCCCGAGGGGGGCTCTGCCTCCCCCGGGGCCCGCTCTGGCTCCACGGTGCCCTTGGACTGCTGCAGGTAGCCCCGGAACTGCAGCTCTGCCTGGCCGGTGCCAGGGCACAGCCCTGGGCTGGCATTCCCGCTGCCAGAGGAGCAGGCAGCAGCAGGGCAGGGGCTCTCCAAGCCCACCCCGCTGTCCTCAGCCGTGGGCAGCTGCTGCCTGTAGCCCTGGGGCTGGGGGTCCGCCGAGCAGCTCAGGGAGGAGGAGGATGAGGAGGAGGAAGGGAGGTGCAGGCAGATGCCGCTGTCGGTGCTGGTGCCGCTGCTGTCTCTGCTCCCCGTGGGCCCCAGCTGGTCCTTGGGCCACGCTGGGAGCTTCCAGCCCTGCTCCAGGGGCAGCTGGGCCGTGCTGGTGCTGCCGTCAGGGCTGCTGCCCGGCTGGGGCTCCTTCTGCCACAGGAAGAGCTGCTGGACGGGGTCTGCATCCAGGCTGCCCCAGGAGGGGGGCTCATGCTCCCCCCAGAGCGAGCTCTGCTTCATGAGGGACTTCTGGGAGGGAGAGGAAGAGGAGAGTGAGCTGTGCTTCATCCCTGCTTGCTGCCTGCCTCTCCCAGCCTGGCCCCAAGGGCACTGTCCCTGCCTTACCAGGGCAGACGGTGTCCTCACGGGTTTCCTGGTGTAGGTACACACCAGCAGAGCCCCCAGGAGGCCCAGCAAGGACAGGATGATGAAGGAGGAGCTGAGGATGTCTGGGAGAAGCTCCGCACTCCCTGCAAGAGAGGACATGACCAGGTGAGGGGATTCCTCAGCACCCAGAGCCTGCCCTGGCGTGGATCCCCACGCTCCCAGGAGGCTGGGGGGGTCAGCATGCCCTGGTTCCCCCTTCCCTGGCCCCACTCACTGTCCCTGTGGCCGGTGGTGACGCACTGCTCGCCCGAGCGCGCGGCGGGGACGGCCCAGTTGGCCAGGCTGGGCTCCACGCTCAGGCAGTACTCTGTGAGCCAGAACAGCTTGCCGATGCTGAACTCGGTGCTGTTCTTCACCACGGTGATCTGCAAGGAACAGCACGGGCTGGAACCTGGGAGCACCCAGCTCCTGCTTCCCTCCCTCCTCCTCCTCTGTCCCCTGGGAAAGTCCCCAGGTTGTGGTGCGATCATGATGACAGCAGCTAGATCCAAAATCCCCACTGGGGCTGGAAAACTCTGCCATAAAACACGCAGAGAAGCCTCTCCGTGCTGCTGTGGCTGTGAGAAAGCTCAGCATTTACTCCTACAGACAGCCCTGCCTTAACAACCTGGTTTTCCCCTTGAGCAGGGACAGAGGGGGACAGCGCGGGAGCAGCAGCTGGTCTCACCGTGTGGTTGTCCCGTGTCCTCCTGAGGTACACGTGGCAGCGGGTCATTTCCTTCTGGAAGTCGCTGTACTCCAGGGTGCTGTTCCCGGAGCGGAGCAGCAGCTGCAGCCGCACCTGGATGGAGTTGCCCACCACGGAGAGGCTCTGGCTGGCCAGGTGAAGGCCAGCTGGAAGCAGAACAGTCAGACAGCAGGTCAGGGCTGTTTCCTGCTCACAGCTCGCAGCCCCTGCAGCAGCAGACTGAGCTGTGACCGTCCCACCCATCCCCGGGCTGCCCCATCCCCCTGCACACCCCCCTGCCCTCCAGCAAGGCGTGGAGGGCAATATCCCAGCTCTCATTCCTCCCACAGCTCTTTCCAAGCAGCTCAGCACCCCGACCCCAGCTCCAGCACAGGCTGGAGAAGAGCCCACGCCACCTTGCTGCGGGAAGAAGCTGCCAGTCTTTTCCCAGGAGGACGTGCTGTTCCCGGCCACGGCCCTGACCCGCGCGTGGTAGCGCTGCTTCGGGTCCGGGGTGTAGTGCGTGAGGTCACAGGAGTGCTCCGAGGTGTTGCTGCACTCCGGGATGGCTGTCCAGGGGATTCTGGAGCCGTAGCTGTGGGGAGAGGCAGCAGGGGTGAGCAGAGGGTGCCGGGCAGGGCGGGACGCGGGCTCCCCTGGCTGCTACTCACACTATGTACTCCACGTCGTAGCTGGCGTTGCTGGGGCAGCCGTGCCCCGGCTCCCACCTCAGCAGGTTCCTCCCCATCTCCACGACGAAGCGCACGGAGCGGGGCCCGGCCAGCTCCTCACCTGTGGGGCACACGCTGAGCTCAGGGGGGGCTGCACAGCCCCGTCCCACCTCAGCCCCCAGGAGCCTTGGGGGGCCTCCTGCAGCACCACCCGTGACGTGACAGCGCTGACCACCCGAAACGTGCAAGCCTTTGCCCAGATTTCTCTCTCCAGTTTCCAGGATTTGTTCAGCCCCCTCTTCTCCTTCCTCTTTCTTTTTCTGGGACAGCCCAGCTGGGGTTTCTTGGTGTTTTCAGCCCCAGGAAAGGAGCTATCCCCTGCCGTTCGCCACCAGCTCTGTTTGGACTCGGCTTTCCTGTTTTGCTCATCTGCTGCCTGGGTGAAACCAGACTTTTCACACCTCCCGCCTGACCTCGGCGTTGTCACCTGGCAGAAAAGCCCCGCTGATGACATCTGCCACCTTTCCCTTGCAGGTGTCCCTGGCAGCTGCTGCCTGCTGGCAAACCCCCAGCGCAGCGCTGTGTCCCCAGTGCCTGTGGCCCCTCACGGTGACACCAGTGGGGACAAGCCAGGCTGGTGCCCCTCGCCGAGCCTTTTTCTCCCAACCAGCAGTGAAAGGCGAGCAGTGAGCAGGGAGCCCTGGCCATGCCCCTCTCCCAAGCGCTGATCTGAGGGCTGAGCACCCACCAAAGGTGTCCAGGCTGTGGCTCCAGTCTTATTCCCCCTCCCAAACATCCCACCCCGAGCTGTGAGGCTCAGCCCCGGCCACAGGGGGATGAAAACCATCAGGAGAGACTCACCGTGCGTGGGGCAGGCGAGGAGCAGCGCCAGGCACAGCGCCAGGGCGGTGGCAGAGGGGACCATGGCATCCTCCGCGGCCGCAGGGCGAGCGGGGCCGGGCTGTGCCCCGGCGGCGGCCGAGCGCTCGTTTTTCCCCCGGGGGCTGGCTCAGTGACGTCTCGGAGGCGTTCAAACAGCGCCAGGAAAGTCACCGAGCAGTCACTTCCACTTCTCTTCGCTGTCCACCCACTCACCCCCAGGCAAAGCCTCAGCCTGGGCTGGGCTTTCCGACAGAGCTGGGGAGGAACAGTTCTGGGGCTTTTCTGAGCAAAGCTGGGCCGTGCTGAGAAAGGCAAGCAGAGTAAGGGGTGTCTCTGCCCTTGCCGCTTTGTTGTGAAATGAGATGTTAGAAGCACGGCGCAGGTGAGTGTCAGCACCGAGGTGACCTGGCACAGGGGCTTTCCTGAGCACAGCACCGTGTCCTGTCCTGAACCAGCTGAATCCAGCCGGGTTCTGACAGCCCTGGAGCCCCACGAGGGGTTCTGGCTTTCCTTTCCTTTGGGCTCAGCCTGCAGTTCCCCTCTCTCCTTTTCTGGGGCTGAGTGAGAACCTCTGGGCTGTCCTGTGTCCTGCAACACCCTCACACAGGGGTGACACTGATTTCCAGTGTGACACGGGGCTGCCACTGTCCCCAGGGCTCTGGTGACCCCCCAGGTCAGTCTGTGACCCCATGGCTGTGGGGTCTGCCCACGGTGCTGTCCTGCCTGTGTGCTGGTGCTGGGACCTGAATCGCCACCAGCAGACTGTGCGAGTGCTCTGCTTTGCCTCAGAGCTTGCTTGAGGGCTTTCCTGGGGCCCTCATGTGATGGAGAGTGATTTTCCTCAAAAAGAGGAATTTCCCACTGGGGAATTAGTGGAAAGAACACAGACAAAAAGAGCAAGAGAAACCAAAAGTGCTGTGGACGGAGTCAGAGCATCACGGTGGGCACAGAGATGCAGGCTGCTCTTTGAAGAACCATCCTAAAGGCCTGAAGTGGGAGATTTCTCCTGTTTTCCCTGCCTTATCCTCCTGACAAAGGCCAAGAGCTGCCACAAACTCACAGCCTGGCAGGAGCACCAGCAGCAGATCCCCCCCTGCCCTGGGTTTATCCCCAGCCAGAGCAGAGCACTGATGTCCTGCCACTCTGCTCTTGGCCCCCGAGGCACAGCTGGCAGCCACGAGCTGAGGAGCCCCGAGATGAGGCACGGCCAGTCCCACACAAAGCCACAGGCTGTGTTCTGTGGAAGCCACAACAACGAAAAGCAGCGGGAGCAGAAGGCAGGAAAGTGGGAGTTGTGTGGAAGAGGCACGGCGGGGCTGGCCCTGCGGTTCAGAGAACAGGAGAAGTAGTTGGCAATTTAGAGGAAAGCGAAAGAGGCTGAGGAGGAACGAGAGTTCTGCAGAATGCTTGGATGGCCAGGGGCACCGGGGCTGGAGCTCTGCAGGGAGGGCACGGCCAGGGGCCACGGGAGAGGCTGCTGAGGGGACAGCGAGAGCTGGGGGGATGTGGCTGACCCTGAAATGGACACACCACGGAGAAACCCAGCCCAGGAGCACCCCGGGCTGTGCATTTCCCTCCCTGCTGTGCCTCAGGAAGCTTTCCCAGGGTGACAGCAGGATCAGGCAGGTGGTGCAGGGCAGGGATGGCCCCGGAGGGCTGGTTCTGCACAGCCCTGCCGCAGGACAGAGCAGGGCAGAGGGAACCTCATCCCAATTCCCTCGAGCCTGGGGGCTTGGAGCAGCTCTGCTGGGCTGGTGGAGCCAGCTCTGGCTGTGTGTTTTAGATCCCTTCAATGGCTGGGAGGGCAGGAGGGTGCAGAGAGGGCTCAGAGCAGCAGGAAAGGTGAGGATTTCACCCGGGAGCTGTGTGCATGCTGACATTTACCATCAGGCTGCTGAGGTCAAGGCACACTGTTCTCTGTTCCCTGGAACTTGCTGTCTGTACGTGGCTTTGTAGCAAGCAATGAATGGCTCCTGGAGCTGCTTTCTGAGAATCCCTTTCTGGAGTGGCCTCAGCAGCTCAGGAGGGCACAGCTGGCTCAGGGCTGCCTGGAGGTGCAGCTCAGTGCTTGCCCACCCCTGGCACTCAGCAGGCACAGCCTGCCGAGGCACAAAAAGCAAACAAAAAACCCCAAAAACCACTCCTGCCTGTGAAAACTGCAGAGGAGTGTGCTGTGGAGTGAGGGCTGGCCCAGAACCCCTCTGGGAGCTGGGAGCAGGAGGGATCAGAGGGATCCAGCCCAAACTTCCCAGCCTCAAAAGGAAGGGGAATCCTCCAAGCCTGGATGTCCCTACTCATCTCTGCCCTTCTGATGAGCTGGTGTGGGTGGGGAGCTGGATGAAAGAGGGACTTACACCAAGAGCAATGCCAGGAGAAACCTGTGGCACTGAGGGTCCTGGGTCTGGCTCTCAGAAAGAACAGGATGAAGCTAGGCTTTTCTCCTTTAATCCAGGAATTTTCACCTTTTTCTCCCTGAGTCCTTGGCCAAGCAGAGCATCCCCCAGGCTGTGCCTGCGGGGCAGGCAGGAGGCTCTGCTGGTACTGGAAGAAGCATTGCCTCCATCAGCAAAGGAATTAAAAGGCCTCTAGAGAAACCAGAGGGAAACAGCATTTAATTTCCTTTGGAACAGGGAATTCTTGACTCACAGCAGTGAGATTCTCCTGGCTGGGCATGGCTGAGCATCCCCGGGACAGGAGAGTGAGAGGGGGGCACGGAGGGGAGGAAGGGGGGCTCGGGTGAGCCAGGAGGGCAGCGGGGAGCTGCTGCTCGCTGGGGCCGGGTCTGCCCGGCTCTCCGAGCCCCCTGGCCGTGCCCCGCGTCCCCGGGCCGGCCGGCAGAGCGCAGGTGTTGTGTTGGGAAAGCGGCGGCGGAGCCGGGCGGCAGGTCGGACAGGTTTGCTGCTGGCACTGACGTACGAGCCCGCTCGCCAAACACCTCCCGGCCCCGGCCCCGCCGAGCTGGCCCTGCTCGGCACCGCGCTGCTGGCATGGCCGTGCCGCGGCTCTGAGCCCAGCCCAGCCCCGATCCCGGCCCATGGACGGCAAAACCTCCCCGGTAAGTGCGGGGCTCCGCGGGGCGCTCCCCTGGGCTGCGGAGGAGGGACCGCTCTGTCCCGCTGCTCTCCCGGCTGCTCCTCCGCGGCAGCCGGAGGGAGAAGGAGCCGGGGGAGCTGCCGGAGGAGCTGCTGCCTCCGGCACCCCTCGGCAGCTGGAGGGAGGGCGGCCAGCAGCATCCCTGGTGCTGGCACACAGGGCTCCCGGCTGCTCTGCCACACTGGAGCTGTGACCTGAGGGGACCGGCTGGTGCTGTCAGAGGGATCTGGTGCTGCTTGGCACGTTCTGAGCCCCCCGGCACTTTCCTCTGGTGGGCACAGCCCTGCTGCTCCCCTCTCCAGGCAGTTTTCCCTGCGCCCTTTTGGGCTGGGCTGACTGGGACCGGCTCAGCCCTGGATGTGGGGCTTTGCTGAGCATCCTGTCATGAGGAAAACATCCATCCCGGCCGGGCACCGGGCGAGGCAGCGGGTAATTACCGTGCTGAGCAGCGCCGGCCGTGCCAGCGACATCCGGGACAAAGGCGGCGGTGGCGGCGTGCCTGGGGCCCCGGGGAGGCACAGCCAGCTCTGACACCGTCCTCTTCCTGCCCCTTGGCCTGGGGGTGCCAGGGGCAGGGGCACAGCGGGCTCGTGCTGGGTGTTGGCTGCCTCTGAGGAGAGGGAGAGCGGTCGCAGCTCTGGGTGGCCCCAAAGCAGGGTGGCATCGCTGAGCCTTGGTGACAGTGGGGCAGGAACTGGCACGGCCACATGCAGAGACAATTGCCCAATACTGGACAACCTCACTGAGCCATCTTGCCATTGTCACTTGGGTTAAATGGGCCATCAGGAGTGCCAGGAGCCACCCTTGGCTCTGCAATGGCAGCAGTGTCTCTTTGTCCTTCCAGGCCTCTGTTAGCCCCTCTGTGGAGCGAGGTGAGCGGTGCTTACCCAGCCCCTGGAACATTTCCACACACATTGGGTCTGTGCCCAAAGGGTGCCCACCCTGGCACAGGATGAGCTGTCCCTGGCCACGTCGGGCTGGCTCAGTCAACAGCTGGCTCAGTTAGTGCAGAGTGGCACTGTCTAGCTTTGGGATTTCACTGCTGTGTGTGCCAGGGGCTTGGCAGTGCCCTCCCACCCTGTTCTGTGCTGGGCTCTGTCCCCTCCCAGGCAGCTCCCCCCAGCAGTGGCACTGGAGCAGGACACTGTCACCCAGAGGGATTAGTGGCTCTCACAGGCTGGGGACGCCCCTATCCCTGGAGAGGACAATGTCTCCATTGTGTGCTGGCTGAGCTGCCCGCAGACAATGGGAGCTTCACAACCAGGGGAAGGAGTTCCCAGGCTGGGCACAAGGCTGGAGCCGTGCTGAGGGCAGGCTCAGCTGGGCAGGAGGATCTGAGGCAGCTCATGGAAGCCAGCCTGCCTCCCTCCCCTCTCGATGCTCCGGGTTTTTGGGAGCTCTGTGTCCTTCTGCTCCTCCGGGACTGGGCCCTGGGTCAGGTTGCAACACCCAGGTGTTCCCTGGCTTCCGCTTTCCCTCCCACTCCGAAACTGTGGCTGCCTGCTGGCTGCCTTCCTGCAGCCTCCAGCCCAGCATCACCTTTCCCCTGGTGCTTGTCCTGCCCTGGGTTTGGTTTGGGGGCCTTCCCTCCACGTCAGGGTGTGGAGGGAGGTCAGTGCACAGTGCGAAGGGGACGGGCACCTCAGCGCTGCTGCCCTGGCTTTGGGTGCCTTGCCCACTCTGCTCCGAGCTTTGGAGCAGGGACAGGGTGTGAGGTGGTGTTTGCACTCCGGACAGGTCAGCAGAGATGCAGACAGGTGGTGTTCACTGCAAGACGAGCAAAGCTGGCCAGGAGTGTCCCCAGTGTCCCTGAAAGCCAGGGCTGTGCCAGGCAGGGGCTGGCCGTGCCCCCTCCCCACAGCTCTGCGTGGGGCACCCCTGAGGCTGCTGCAGCAGCAGAGGCCGGCGGGGAAAGGGCTCAAACCGCAGCGGCGCCTGTGATCCGGGCTCGGCCCTGCTCTGACTTTTACTCAAAAGCCAGCGAGGGATGAGTAAAGGTTTTGTGG